TCATGAAACACTTTACTGCCATCATGCCCGCATTACAGGCGTCTTCAGTTCCCCGTCTATTAGTTGGCAAATTCAGATTTTCATCCACTGTGGCAAATGGTGCCAAAGGATCCTGCAGAGCTGAGCATAGGGACTATACGTACCAGAAAAAGTCAGACGTTGTCAATATATATACGGGACCTGACAGCGGCAAGCAAAACCTGATACCGTTTCACAGTATCGTCTCGGCGTGCATCCTTGGTCATGAATTGGGCCATGCTTCTTGGTCATGCGATCGGAGGGCGTAATAACAGGGCAGTATATCCACGCGTCTGTTGTCTGATACCCGCGCTCCCAGTTGTTCTCGACCCGTCTTATATCTGGCCCGTTTGTGCTCCGTTATTCGTGAGCTAAATCGTCACCTGGTCTCCCCTATATAATCACAAGAACAGTCGCGACATGACACTTGATAAACGACACCCGACTGCTCACCTACCTACAGTCGGTCTTTTATTTGCATAATCCGCGAGCGCATGGTAACTATCAGACGATGAGCAATACCCACTCCAATCTCTGCAGCAGTACGTTCCGTTTGTACTGACACATTCTTTATGTACGGTAGAGGGTGCCAGAGTGTTGGTGGTTCCACTCCGTTTGTTCCCCGTGAGAGCGTACGGAGATAGCAGCCAGCGGGGTTGTTCAGATATCCAGTCCTTGTCACCTGATTACGAAGATGCCGTAGTTCTCGAACTCGTCCCTCAGGTTCACTGCAATGTTTTTATACCCTCTGGAAGATTGCTCCTATACAGCCGCGTTTATACACCATCGAGTGGTTGCTATGGGAAGTGAGTCGCCTTTCTATACGCTGTAGTACTGAGTTCTCCATTGGGTTTGCGCGTGACGAGGATGTCAAGGAAAGGTAGTTGTTCGGCATTCTCTTCTTCCCTTGTGAATTGGATGTCAGAGAAGATGCCGTTAAGCAGTTCTTGGAAGTCTGTTAGACTGCTCCATTCGACTATACCGAAGGTGTCGTCCACGTATCGGCACCAGAACGCAGGTTCAGAGTGATTGAAAGCGAAATTTTCCAGCTCCTGTTAGACCAGTTTTATGATTAGACTGAATACTGGGGAACCTATCGGCGTCCCTTTGAACTACTCGTCTGTTCTACCACTGAAGATGAAAAAATATTTAGCAGAAGACTTTGGCCGAAGATTTAATCCGGTTGAACCGTTTTTCCCGGATAGCCGCCCGAAATTGGGGGGCCAAATTTATTGAGGTCCTGGAGCCCCGGGATCCTCTATCCATGTGTCCTAGAACGCTCAACCTTTTCAGTCTTCTACTGTCTCCCCACTTGCACTATCGATCCGACAACGGAAGCGACTGCGTATGACGCTCGAGGAGGAAAAAAAACATGCAAGTACGACAGCAGCCCTGTGATTGGTCAGCGGTTACGTGAACACTGTTAGGTCCTTCGGTTTTCGGAATCAAATTGCGTAGACGGAGGAACTGTAGGGCTCCAGATTACCAGTCCACTTCAACTGAATGATTTCTACGCAGACATAATGTCAAGCCCATTTGTAAGAGTAACATTTTATTGATGTGTCTTCTCCTTGAATGAATACCATATTTTATGCACATATTGAAAATATAAATCAGATTCTCCCGGCACTCTTGAATCATGTAGCATTGGCCTCAGTAGTCTCTTGCACCAACTTTGAAAGAAAGCAGTCGTAGTTGTGGAAAGAACGGTTAGGATGATCTGTATGGCTGCGTAAACATGACACGGAAACATGGGCCGCCCATGTGACTTCGCGGCGAATTCAGGGAAAATTAGGTTTAGGATTAAGGTAAAAGTTAGGACTTAGTGTAGGGTTAGGTTTAAGGTTGAGGTTAAACTCAGATTTGGTGTTAGGGTCAGGACGATGTTAGGGGTTGGGGTTTAGGTTTGTGCTAAACGTAGTGTTTCGGTTAAGGGTAGGGCTGGGATTAAGATTAAGCCGTCCCTACAACCTAAGAAACTCGGCACTGGCTACACCCCCTCCAGCATCCTCTTCATCTAAACGCTCTTTTTTGCTTCTAGATATAGATTTCTTTGGAATAACTTGCCAATCGAAATTAGGTCGTTAACTAGACTGTCTGCTTCAAACTAAATCTGCACATTTAGCTTAACACTGATTCTATTAACCTTTTATGCTCCTCATCTTTTCCGAGCAGCTTCCTCCCTGGCTCCGAGAAAGGACCATCGGAAATTTAGGAGATCCTCTTGAAACTGTTTTCTCTGCCTCGTGTCCCTCGGGAACCTAGATGCTTCCATCAACCACCGCTCAATCAAACGAAGCCACGTGGACGTACTCAGTCTAAACTGCTGCCGTTTCTTTGGCTACTAACCATCATCAGACTTCCTACGCCTATTTTTACTACACTACTCTGTCTTATCTTCCTAAGCAGTTTCTTTCTCTTACACGCTTTTTGAAAATGTAGGCCCGTTGAACTCTGCCTCCATTTTCACTGTAAGAGTTTTTTAACTGCCT